GGGGGGGGGGGGGGGGGTTGCAGCCAGAAGCCGACCAGCCAAACTACGACAGTGAGGAAGTTGGTCAAACTCACAAAGACAGTGTGAGTACTTGAACATTCGGATTCATCTTATACGTTTTTTTGCAAGACTAACATGTTTTTGAGAATCTACTGTGGTACATTGGAAGCCTAAAAGTAGGTCATTTCTTTCTTTCAAATGTTTATCGGCTGTAACAAAAAAGGCACTCCAATGTTTGAAGATTTCTAAATGAGCAACATTTGTTTTGATTAAATGTCTATCGGTCTGCCATCCACCTCATTTTTCAGTACTGATTGTGGTTGTCAGACATTGATTCCTTCTGCTTAAAATGTTTCATTATTGCTGCTGTAGGACGAGTCACAATGCATTATGGGTCCCATCACTCTATTGTGAAGTTGTCCCTGAGGTCAAGGACAGACACAGAGACAATGAGACTCATCAAGAGATTTCCATGAATCCCAAACCAGCAGACTGAGAAACCAAAAAACTTAAGAGTGCGTTCATAACTTCTGTCAGACATTCTTTTTATGAACCTGATCAACAGGTTCGCTCTTCCAATAAAACTAATGAGGCAAATCTGTGCGTACTATTTGGTAACGAGGAGTTACTCCAACGTGTTCTTTCATTAAAACAAATAAGTGACTTCATTCACTGAATATCTTCTTGTGTGAAAGAAAAGGCACCAAAACAATACTTTATTCATTATATAAAGAAAAAAAATTGGTATTTTAATTAAACTAACAAAGTTGAAATATTGGGTTTGTCAAAAATAGGGGGACATTTTTTTAAATATTTCATATTCTTTCTTCTAATGCTGTGTGAATGGCACTTGTAAATGACTTTTATCATGGCAGAGTTCATGCCGTGCACTCATGGTATAATGTAAGCACAATACAAATATCCTGCTCAGAAAGCAATGGTTTGGTTCAGAGCCGGCTGGTAAGACTCGGTCGAAATGAATAGCGGTAAAGTTCAACCGTAGCTCATCAGGAAAAAGAAAACCAAGAGAAAATGTTTGGAGGCATTTTTAAAAACCATGCAAGAAAAACAAACGCACACACAGCTACAGACCACAGAGCAAAAAGCAACTCTTATCCTCCGGTTACCTGCTCAGCCAGTTTCCCTAACCTGTTGGACTGACAGGGCAGGACAGATAAAGATATTTATATACTTATATAAGTGGATACACATGCACACACACATGAACAAAATCACAGGGATACGGAGAAACAAATAGAAAAGGACATCAAAGTGCTACAGGAGGAAAAAAACGATGAACAGACGTAAACATTGACCGCCGCAGACTCTGGACCTCTCTCTTCCTCCTCCTCCTCCTCCTCATCATCATCCTCCTCCAGCTGCTTACCTGCAGACAGATGGCCACGTTCACCCTGCAGCCGAAGGTGGTGCTGACGGCGCGTGGCGAGAGCCCCAAGTCCTTGAAGATCTTGGAGAAGGACTGAGTGAGCGCGATGCGGGGCCGCTCCTCTGCGACCACCATGCACGTTCGCACACACGACAGGTTCACGTTCCTCAACTGGAGAGGGAAGAAATACAAGTTGGCTTATTAAAATCAAAAACATAATAATGAAGTATAAATTGTGTAAAATAGGATTAGGGTTAGCCAATATGTGTCTGTAATATATTTCTGTAGCTTATTGAGAGTGTGTATTGTATGTAGAGTATTCAATCTATTCAATATTTCTTCATATTGTGTATTATTTTGAATCCAGTGATTTATGTCCCTACTATTGTGAAATTGTATATAATTTCTTCGAATATACATTTTATTGTTGCTATATTTGTATCTTATTGTATTCTTTACTTGGTGTCACATTGTATTAAAAGTACAGTTTTGCTAATCATATCTCTTTAGAGACCTGACAAATTAAATACAGAACTAAATTAGTCAAATTAAATTAAAACCAAAGAGTACATAGGGGTTGTTTGAAATGCCAAATATCTACACATGTACACATGTATCTACTACTTAGACACACATATATATATTGTATCTTTTTAATATGTTTAACTTGTGTAATGCTTGACAACATTTCTGCTGTGATAAACTAATTTACCGATTTGGGATGAGTCAAATATCTATCTATCTATAACTTTTTTTATCAGACCACAGACATGCTTGGTAAAAGTATCCCAGTCACAAGTGCTGCAGGCAACAGCACCACCAGGAGGGGAATAATGAAAGAAAACCCTTCAAAATGGACACAACTCAACACC